AGAGAGAGCTTATTTGAATTATGTTTCTTGAGGCAATTTTCAGACAAAGTTGGTTTCTAACTAGTGTTAAATACTTTTTCGCCTTATTTATTTAATTTGTACTATGAATGGGAAAATGTTTGAAATTTATTATTCTGAGTGTCATTATTATGTCACCTGAAAATGACCTTTTTTTTTTTTAGTTTACTTACACTAAAATCTTTGCTATAGGGATCATGCATTTATTCTTAGCTTACACATAATCATATTCGTAGAAAATATATGGAAGGGGAATTTAAAAAAAAATAAGAATATTGAATTTGTAAGGATAATATTGTTTCTTCTTCTAACATCTTTATCTCCTCTCTGATCTTAATTTACCAAACTCTTTTACCCATCCTGGTTTTTAAACTCTCAAGCTTCTTATGGTTTATCTCAATTAGCATCATTAAATGTTTTTCCTAGATGACTTCATCGAAATCATATATCGCAAGATGACCTGATTTTACGTTCGAGCATTGTCACTTTCTGCAGTAATATGACCTATGACATCAAAATTTTACTATACAACAAAGGGGGATGGAAGTCCTTGTACTGAGATTAATGACAAAAGGATTAATCAAGATTTTGTATAACCTTTACTATCAATCCATCCTGTTGACACTACACTATAGCTAGATGACTAAATCATCATTCATGATCTCAGTTTGCAAGAACTCAACCCAATTTGCTAAAGTTTATTTCTCCTTCAAGCACTTGTATTTCTTTCTTCTATGATTATTAATCTCTCCAGTTTGTTAAGCATGCTTTTATATAGCTTCTTTAATTCAGGGTGTTAAAAATCCATGGGAATTAAAAGAGGCTTTTGTGCATCTTCTGGTTTAGATTTATAATTGGCCTTTTAGTTTGTTTATGAGAGTATGCAGTTCTGGCTTGGTTCAATTTGATTGTGGACACACTGGCTCATCTCATGATTGCTATTGCTATTGCAACTTTGTGTCAATTGAAGTTCAATTTGTTGAAGTTTTATAGTCAATGTATGCTGATTCTTTGCTAAGTTGAGAGGTGAGAAAATTGATTAATATGACATATGTTGGTAGTTTATTTTTTATCATATAAAAATACAATGTAAATAAAGTGCCACATAATATCATGAGATAGCCTGCTTAAAATTGAAGTTTCATTGAAGTAGGAGTGGTGACACTCCATACAGAAGTCCTTATAATCATTATTTGATGTAGGTTCTCTTATATAGTTGCTGAAATTTTCCTTTCCCATCAAAGTCGGTATCGGTGGGGAAGTTTTCTGGTGTTTGTCACATTGCTTGTTCCCTCCTATCAGTTAAGAGGATAAGAAATTCTGCATTTCAATTGGCATTCATTTTCTGAATGTATACTTGCATAGCTATCTTGCATCCAGTACCTTACGTTATTAAGTTAGTTTCTTATCTTTAAACATCCATGTAGATAAATTCCACCATTTATCACAAAGGCTCATGTAAGCAAATGGCAGTTTCCATTTTTAAGATAATTAAAAAGTGTGGCCCCTTTTACCAGTGTGTGTCTACATTGTGATGTCATTTATATGAGTGCACTTTCGCAATTTAACCAATTTGTTTCTCACATTTTATATTTTCATGTTCATTTCACTTATCCACATTTTTTTCCCATGTCATTTGCATAAAAAATAACAATTCCTTATTTTTAAAATCACAGGGAAGGTGTATCGTGATATAGTTGGTAGTGGAATTAAAGGAAAAATTAAAGAAGGGTGAAAACCTTGTGGAGGAATTGAGAGAAACT